CACCCAGCCTGCAGTGCAGAGCAGGAAGTAAAGGCTCAACTCCATCACCCTGGCCACAGGGCTTGGCAATCTTGTCCCCAGCCCACCTCTCTGTGTCTCTCTCTGGTCAAATTAAAATGAATGAATACATAAGATAAATAATTATAGCAAAATTATTTAATTTTATTATTATTTTTGTTAATTTGCACATGCACTCGCCAGAGAGAGACTAACTGAGAGAGAAAGTGAGAAAGCAAACCACCAGGTCCAGGACTTGAACTATGATCAGCCATGTGGGAGGCCAGCGCCTCAAGCACCACACCACCTGCTGGCCCCATGGCCCTGTTTTCCATGAATATGAGCAATTCATTCTGGGTCTTAACTGAGCTCGGTACCACCTGGGATCCGCAGGTCACAGGATGCTGGGTCTAGGGCAGACTAGGGGATCTGCATTTCTTTTTTGGGTAAGTTTTTGTCTTAGAGTGCACATGCATGAAAGACAGAGAGGGAAAGTGAGAAATCACCCCCAAGGGGGGATGGCCGTGCCACAGTCCCTTCTCTGTTCTCCTCCTGGGATCTTAGGCACACAGGTACACACGCCTGGTATGATTTTGAAGCCAGCACATCTGGGACTGCCCAGAGGGGATCCCACCATTGTACCCGCCAGGCCATCCACTGGCCCTGGACATCTGCATCTTCTTCTTAGTTTTTTTAAAGAATTATTTTATTAAAAAAAAAAAAGAATTATTTTATTTAACTTTATTTATTTATTTATTTTAATTTGACCAGAAAGGGACTGAGTGAGAGAGAGTGCACAAGAGAGAAAGTGAGAAAGCAAACTGCTAGATCCAGCGCTCTAACTGCAGTCAGCCATGTGGGAGTCCAGCGCCCTTACCCACCACATCACCTGCTGGCCCTGAAATCTGCATCTTAGTAAGCCCCCCAGTTGATACTGATGCAGGACCTGTGCCGTCTGGAGGGTCACTCTGGCACTTCCAGAGCCTCTCAGATCACTCCAGCAGTCTCTGTCCCACTCTGCCACTTTCCACAGCCTCCCGTCCCTACTCAGTATGTCGATGACACTTTCTGCTGAAGCCACCAAAGGAGAGAGAAAACACTCTCCTTTCAAACTTTGGAAACAGAGACCCTATTCATCTGCTTGACCCTCAGTAGGTTCCCCTGTGTCCCAGAGCCCTTGGAAGAGACAGTCTTGGAACTGTCCCTTGGGGGTGGGGCCCCCATGATGGGGGTCACACCTGCTGACTTTGTCTTTGTGTACCCCTCACTCTGCAGCGGAGACCTCACCACTGGCCAGCCATGAAGTTCCGCAACCACCCCAGCCACTCCACCTACACGGAGGTGGAGCCCTCGGGCCATGAGAAGGAGGGCTTTGTGGAGGCCGAGCAGTGCTGAGAGTGACAGAGGTCCCCTCTGAAGGACAGGAAAGAAGACCCGGGCCTCCAAACAGATGCATCAAAGCAAAATGGAGAAGCGATTATCCCTGGCCTCCTCCGAGCATGCCCAGGCCAGGAAGAGGAGACGGTGGTTTTTGGTGCTAACACCAAAAACAGTGTAGTCATCACACCCCACGTCCCCAAGATGGGCAGAAAGGCAACCACGTGGGTCTTTTCAGGGAACAATAACCTCATGTGAACCCGTTTTGGTGTACAGGGTTCCCCCTTCCTGGTCTCTCTGTGGTCTAGCGTATGGCTGTTCCAAAGCCCTCTCAGATCTGAGGATGGCCAATGCCCTGCTCCTGGTCACCTGCGGCCCAGGCCTACGACACGAGCTGATGAAGATCTAGATGGGGGCCCCTGCAACCCAGAGCCCGTGGACTGAAGAACTGGGTCTCAGGGCTGTAGAGTTGACATATTCAGCCCAGCTTCTGAGGCTTTGAAAGTTGGAAGGAGTTAGCCCATTAAACACAGGTGCGGCTGCTCTCAGCCCTTAGGGCGTATTGTCGTGGAGGAAAGCCAAATGACAGGAGGGAAGAAACTCCTGGAGAAATTGCATTTTTAGGCTTGCCCTCTTGCCCTTCCTGCAGCTGTTCCTTCTGCATTAAAATGTGTGCAGCCTGCATCGCAGGCTTCAACCCAACCTGCAGTCCAGCCTCCACGTGGCTGTATACTGTCTGGGGCTCCCTACTCCGACGGCATGTTTGGTGCCTGTTTGTCACGGGTCTCTTCTGCCGTCAGTGTCAGTAGGAACCTCCAAAGGTAGGGCTTGCCTGATTAATAGTTTTCCTCCTCTGAACTGGATTTATAGAGCCATTAAAGACAAATGAGGGGGAGCTCCTTGAGACATACCCAGCAGGGAACTTCAGTTAGAAGCAAAGCCGAAATGTGGGGCCAGAGGAAGCTGGCCTGAGAGCAGGAACTTTCTGCCCAAGACCTTGACCTGGAAAGTTGCCTCCTTGCCTCCATCTCTGCTAGAAGTCTTTGGGGTGGGACCAGCAGTTGGCGTAATGGCTATGTCGCTGGACTCCCACGTAGACGATCGCGGTTCGCGTCCCGGACCCAGTGGCTTAAAACTCACGCCGGGTGCATGTGCATGCGTGCCCAAGATCCTGAGAGGAGAATGGAGGAAAAGGGATTGTGGCGTGGCCATCCCCCCTGGGGGTGATTTCTCACTTTCTGTCTCTCTGTCTTTCTGGTGAGCGCACGCGCCCTATAGCAAAAATCTCTCTCCAAAAAAAAGTCTTTGGGGTGTAGAGTTTAGGCTCCCAAACTTCATCTGGTTTCAAGGAATTCAGTCCCAGTGATGAGTTGGGACTGCCTCTGAAGGACATTTAAATAAAAATCTATAGCTTGCCCTCATTCAAAGCAACAATATCAGCCCTTTTATGGGTGCCGTAGGTACAGCAGCGACAACTCCTCAGCTTCCCCAGAAAACCTGATTATGGCCACTTCCCTTCAGCTCTCATCAGATGTCACCCAGCCAACTGGTGGGCCCTGTGACGCGGGAGGCCACCTCTTCTGGTCTTAGCTAGAGCAAGGTTGAAAATGTCCTTTGTCACTCAGTAGACCTATGAGAACAACTTTTAAAATCTGTATTTTCTAGGGCTCCCAGGGCATATATCCAAGTATACACATATAAAAATATACACACACACACACACACACACACACACATTTCCCTTACTGCTAAAACATCAGAAAAGGCTGTCACTGTGCTCAGCCTTAAACTTGGTTTGTTAAATTACGACAGTGGCAAAAGCTGCCAGCCAACCAACCACACAGCTCAAGTGGCAGAGGGTCCACCACCTGGGCCGCCATTCCTCCAGTTGTGGTCATGGCTAAGACTCTCTTTCTCCGGGTCCTGGAGCAGACTCAGACTGCACGAAGCACTGACCAGGGGCTGCCCTGACCGCCTGGCCATGAGACGTCAGTGTCACGGTTCAGATGCCACCAATCTCTCTCTCAACACACACCTACCTGAAGCCACAGCACAATGAGAAGAATCTGGGGACCGAGGGCACCCCAGCTGCCCTAAATGCAATCTCTACAATTCACATGTCTAGTGTGAATTCTCTGCATGGATTCTCAGTGTTAATAGTAAAGGAAAGAGCATTTTATGACTTCTGTGTGCAAAAAAAAAGTGCCCAGGATTTTCAGTGTCATTCTCCAAATCGCCACCCATCCCTTACTGCGTGACTGCCCTCTTCACTCAGGACCTGCCCCTGGGAGTGTAGGAACCACCTCCAACTCCCTGCCCCTCAGGGGGCTTTGCTCAGCCTCCCCCACCTCTGCCAGACACAGCCTGGAAAGAGATCCCCAGCTATTTACTACACTGGGTCGGTAAATCCCTGGAAGTGAGCCTCCGCGACTTTAATCTGCTATCTAGAGACACAAAATAAATCTGAGTATGTTGATGCTGCCATATTTCTGGATGCTTTGCACTCCAACAACTTTATCAGACGCTTTGTGTTTTTATTACTTTGTGTTTTCTGCTCACAAAACATGGTTTAGCAAACCAAAACAAAGAGAGGAAAAATTTTGAACTCCTCACAGCCAAAATCGGCGATGCCAAATTTCAGGCTCCAAACAAGCCAATTTATAAGTAAACATGCTGTGTTTGCCAAATAAAAAAGGAACGTGTTGGAAATAGCAACAGGGATTGGTGGAGAAGGTGCTGAGCTCCTCAGAAAGGGAGAAGGTGGGTACTTTGACCTCAGCCCTGCCCTGAGGAGCTGTGTGATGGAGGCCAAGTCGCTGAACTTCTCTGGGCCTGGTTCCACCTCTGCAGAATAGAAGATGCTGGTCTCACTGTTCTAAGGAACGACCTTAGCAAATAGCTTCACCTCTTGTTCTGTTTTCATTTTTTTTTTTTCTCCTGCAGTCTTTTTCTACTCAAGTAACTAAGCAACTAAGACTGTTATCCTGATAGGGTGACCAAATTGTTCTAGTTCGTTTGGAACTTTCTTGGTTCTAACACTGAAAATCATGTATCCCAGGCAACCCCTCAATCCTGGCTACCCTGGATAATTGGTCCCTTTATCCCTGGAGCAGCCTTCCCACCTCATTGGCTAAAGAAACAAGTTAATAATGTCAAGCATTTGTAGAGCACTTAATTTTTGGAGTGAGGGGACCAGCAGTTGGCGTAATGGCTATGTCGTTGAACTCCCATGTAGTCGACCGTGGTTTGAGTCCCGAACCCGGTAGCTTAAACTCGTGCCCAAGATCTTGAGAGGAGAATGGCGGAAAAGGGATTATGGCATGGCCATCCCCCCTGGGGGGTGATTTCTCACTTTCTGTCTCTGTCTTTCTGGCAAGTGCACACACCCTATAGCAAAAACCACTCTCTATGCACTTACCAGAGAAAGAGAGAGAAAGTGAGAAATCACCCCCCAGGAGGGATGGCCACACCATAATCCATTCTCCTCTAGGAATTTGGGGCCCAAACGCCCATGTGCCCAGCATGTTTTTCAAGCTACCAGGTCCAGGACTGGCATGGTGAAGTTAGTCGTATGGAATCCACCTGTGCTAACCACTAGTGCCCTGAAGACCTCTTTAAAGTCCAAAACCTTGCCATTCAAACTGTGGCCCAGATAAGCAGCATTGGGACCAGCAGATGGCTATGTCGCTGGGCTCCCATGTAGTCAACTGTGGTTCGAGACCCGGACCTGGTGACTTAAACTCACGTCGGGCATGTGTGCGTGCGTGCCCAAGATCCCGAGAGGAGGATAGAGAAGAAGGGATTGCAGTGTGGCCACTCTCGCTTTCTGTCTCTCTGTCTCTCTTTGTCTCTCTCTGGGGAGCGCACATGCCCTATAGCAAAAACCTCTAAAAAAAAAGAAAGAAAAACAAACAAATAAACAAACAAACAAACAAATAAAAAACAGATAAGCAGTGTTAATTGAAAATGCCGAACTTGGGACCAGCAGTTAGTGTAATGGCTATGTTGCTGGACTCCACTCCCATGCAGCCGACCGCAGTTCGAGTCCTGGACCCGGTGGCTTAAACTCACGCTGGGCGCATGTGCGTGCATGCCCAAGATCCCGAGAGGAGAATGGAGGAGAAGGGATTGCGGCGTGGCCATCCCCCCTGGGGAGTGATTTCCTGCTTTCTGTCTCTCTGTCTCTCTGTCTCTCTCTCTCTGTCTGGTGAGCGCACGTGCCCTATAGCAAAAGTAGGTTGTGGATTATGACTGAATCCTCCAGGCCTGTGGAGATCCTCAAAAAGATGCATAGCGGTGACGTGGGACCCCGACCCTTGTCTCAGGAAACTATGAGCTTATCACCTACATCTTCACACAGCCCCAGGAGCTTGACAGCATCCTAACTGTTACTGCATTTATCTCATCCCCACGTCCCACACCAGTGACTCTCCCATGTAGGAGCAGGTGGCATAGTGGCTAAAGCACTGGACTCCCATGTGGTTAACCGTAGTTTGAGTCCCGAACCTGGTAGCTTGAAATTCAGGCCAGGTGCCTGTGCGTGTGTGCTCAAAATCCCAAGAAGAGAATGGAGGAGAGGGGATTGCAGCATGGCCATCTGCTTTGGGGAGGGCCATTTCTTGCTTTCTGTCTCCGTCACTCCAGTGAGCACACATTTCCTATAGCAAAAGTCTTTCTCAAAAAAAAAAAAAAAAAAAAGAAAGAAAAAAAAAATTAGGCGCACTTGGGGCCAGCAGGTGCGGTGGTGGTTGGGGCACTGGGCAGCTGACTGCAGACACACAGCTGACTGCAGTTCAAGTCTCAGATCTGGCAGCTTGCTTTCTCACTTTCCCTCTGTCTCTCTCGGTGAGCATGCATGCCCTATAGAAAATTAATAATAATTAATAAAAGTAGGAGCCAGCATATGGCGTAATGGTTATGTCACTGGACTCCCACATAGTCAACTGCAGTTCAAGTCCTGGGCCCGGTGGCTTAAAACTCAGACCGAGCATGTGTGCATGCGTGCCCAAGATCCCAAGAGGAGAGTGGAGGAGAAGGGATTGCGGCGTGGCCATCCTCCCAAGGGGTGATTTTTCACTTTCTGTCTCTTTGTATCTGTCTCTCCAGCGAGTGCATGCTCCCATAGCAAAAACCTCTCTAAAAATAAATAAATAAATAAATATATAATTCTTAAAAGAAAAATAATTAGGAGCTTTTTCCATAAGCTTTGCCAAGGGCCTGGGCAATGCCATCATACATTTATCTTCCTGAACGGAGGATGACGGATTACATCATGATGGGGCTGGAGAGGCAGGGAAGCGAGAAGGAAAGGGAGAAGCTTCACTTGAACTGCTAAAACCGCAGAGACGTTCTTTAGGGAATGACTTTTCTGATGTTCATAAAACAGTTTACACTTGGTCCCTTGAGACAGCTAAATTATGCCTACAGTTTCCTGCAAAGTTAACAGCATTGAGAAAGAAACACCAGAATCTAGGCTAGTAACGTCTCCCCATACACCCCGAGTCCTGAGTTAGAACCTTCCCTTCCGGGTTCGGTCTTCCTCTTCAGCTTTTTATTCAGAAATTGACTGTGACTATCACATAAGCTGATGGAGTGACCAAAGGCATACGATTCACTATGTCCAGTTAAGCTGAGAAAAGTCAGGAATTCCTCAAAAAAAAAAAAAAAAAATCAGATCTGGTTTCCCCTCCGTTGATCTGCTCTACAGTCTCCTCGGGTTAGATCCTATCTTATGTTTTGTTTGTTTTGTTTTGTTCCATTTTAGACAGATTTTTGCTATAGGGCGTGTGTGCTCACCAGAGAGACAGGAAGTGAGAAATCATCTGGGGAGGATGGCCACGCCGCAATCCCTTCTCCTCCATTCTCCTCTCAGGATCACGCGCCCAGCATGAGTTTTAAGCTGCCGGGGTCCACGACTTGAACTGTGGTTGACTACGTGGGAGTTCAGCAACGTAACCATCAGGCCATCTGCTGGTCCCTTGTTTTTGATTTTGAAGGTTTTTGCCATGGGGCATGTGCACTCACCAGAACAGAGACAGTGAGAGAGAAAGTGAGAAATAACCCCCCAGTGGGGATGGCCATTCCACAATCCCTTCTCCTCT